ATAGGACTAAGATTGGATATACCCAGTTTCATTCTTCTGATCTTTATGCTTCATAACATTTTGGAAAGATAAAGCATGAATCCGTTATTTCTAGTGAATTAAAGAACTTTATATTACTTAGCTTCTATACAGGTTCCCACTAGTACCATATTAAAATCAAAATAGACCCAAGCTCCAACATCATATATATAGTCTAAAAGAACAGAAACACAAGGAAGTACTAGTGGAGAGCAAAGGTCTTGGAGGGAGACCAGCTTGACGGTGTCAGAACGAATCATGAAATGTGTCTTTGCCTAATGAAGGAAGTGGAGAGATCTTTCAGTTGTGGAATGCCAAATGAAGACATTTCCATTCTCCCAGATGTTTCAGTTTTTTAGGTTGTTTTATTGTAAATCTGTTAGTCTGTTCTTAGATCTTTGCATTGCTACTGGTTTTTACATTTACTTTTTACTTTGGTTTTATCCTGTAGTTTTAAACTTCTAACATTTAGGTCAGCCCAGAGTAATTTTACTATTGGGATGTATGTAAATGTAACAGTTAATCAGTTCAGCTCATCTGTGGTTAAGGCCAGGTAGATATTCCTTGTATATACAGTGCAGTTAGCCAGGAGTACTTTATCCTCTTCACAAACTGGAATGCCCTTTCTCTTGCTTCTGTAGTTATACGTTGCATTGGTTTTTCTAGAGGGAATTGGAATGAAGGAATGCAGTTTCTGGCTGAAACCAGGCTGATTTTCTATTTTTCAGCTCTTGCCTATTCCACCTCCCAGATATCTGTTATCTTGTTGTTTTGTAAATCTAATTTGTTGGTATTTCAGTAGCCACAACTTATGCCAAGTCATTGTAAATTGAAATGAATACAAGAGAGCAAGAGACATAAATTAACTGTAAGAGCTAGTTATACCACTTTACCTCATCTTGTCAAGTGCAATTTACAAAAGAATGCTGAATGCATAGACATTACTAAGAAACAATTCTCATTTGCTTCATTGTTAGGCAGATAATGTTAAAACTTATGGCAGTATATCTTCCATGTGTTCCAAACTGTCTGTTTATACAGAATAATATTTTTGGTTTATGTTTTCTTTTTTTCAGATCACAAATAAAGATATTCCATTGTCATTTGGTGTCTCACTTCAGAATCTAAGTTTACAGGTAAAAATGCATTACTCCATCTTTAATTTTAAAAAATAACACAGGGGAGGGTTTTTCCAGGAGTGGTCTCACCACTCTCTCCTTCAAGACAGAGATCACATTTTCCCTCAGCGATGCATTCATCGAGGACTAATCGAGTCCTTCAGTCTTCCACAGCTTCTTGAAAAAGTCATGATGGACAAGGGCAGGGGAGTGTATGGTGAGTTGCACAGAACATGCAATTTAACGTGAAGAACATGACATGCAATTTAACATGAAGAACATCATGGCTGACAGGAGACAGGCACAGATTAGATTTTTCCAGACAGTATTGTGAGTTATTTCTGCAAAGGGTCCCAGACTCTCTTGATCTTTGTACAGTATCAGGCATATGGTTTTATTATGTATTTATACAGAAATTAAACACACACAGAGCTTATTTTGGAAAAACTGTCTTCTTGTTTTTTAGACTTCAGATAAAGACTGGAATCCATCTATACAAGATGCAACTGCTAAATTGTTCTATAAGGTAACATCCTAGATTGGAATGCTATCAGTATAAACATGTTTGGAATCTAAGTTGTGATATACACACTGAAATTTTACAAATTTAAAATCAGTTGCCAGGTAGCAAATCATTCTTGGTTACAGCACAGTTATTTACAGTATGCACCATCTTGTTGTTCTGTACATTTGTTGCCATCATCATGTATTAACTAATAATTAAGGTGTCCTGTAGATTTAATGTTTGACTTAGTTTTCTTATAGCCATTTAATTTTTTTTAAATTGCCCTCTTGCTAACACGGTTCACAATATTCAGTCCCAGAAACTATGCTACACTGGGTCCTCATCTGCAGGGCTGGCCCATTTTTGAACTGCAGTGAAGTTTCTGTCTCAGGCAGGAGGGTGGTAGATTGTCCTTCAATCTCCTTCTGGTGTCAGAGACTATCCTTCAGACACAGCCTTTTGCTCATTACGGGCCCCATCCTTCTTTCTTGAAGAGGTTGTGGGAAACCAAGACCCAAAATCTCAATCAGAAGACTTGGGCCATTTCTCAGAACAAGTCCTCTGAATAGCCCAGTTTCTAGGACTGGACACAGAGTACCAGATGGAAAGAATAATGTACCCAATCTTGGACGCCTGCGGTCTAAGCATACTGCTCTTCTCAACAGCAGTGCGGGGATGGCTAGGTGCAGAAATGGCTCAGACAACATCAAGGGCACAGGTGCTCCAACACTGACAGACATCCACTCTGTCTCCTTGGGTTGGTTCCTTTATCTCAAACCCTGGTGTTTGATGTTTATTTCTTTTCCTTTCTGTATTGGAAACAATAATATTGGATGTCTGAGGTTTTTCTGTTTCAGATACAAGGTTGAATTTGATGCCCTTCTACTGCTTGATAGTGTAAGGAATACTGTTCCATCTACAACAGAAGTAGACTTGCCACTTTAGAAAGGCATGGACCCCTCACTGTTGAATGGATCTCTTTCTCAACTCCAGCACAGTTTCTGTTCCAGATATTTTATGTCACTGAAACAGGGTGGAGGACTTCAACTAAAGGAATTCATCACACCATAGAATTCCTGTATGATCACATTGGAGAATTAGATTTTCTCTATAGATTTGAAGGATGTTTGTTTCCACAGCTCTATAGAAGACTCATATAAAAATGTCATACATTTCTAAATTGGAAGAGAGACTTTTTAATTTTCATTTTTACCTTTTGTACTGTTCACAGCTGCTAGGGCTTTCACAAAGTGCATGATAGCATTCTGTGCCTATTTATGATTGCAGGGGATCCATGTCTGCTCAAACCTGGATGACTAGCTCATTGTGACACCATCTGAACAAGACTCACCTAATCCCATCAATGCTACCTACACTTTATTAGACAAGTTGGGACTTTGTGTAAACTTAGAAAAAACTCTCCTTTTCTCCTCTCACTGAATCCTCTTCATTGGAGCTACCCCCCACACAGATTCATTGAGAGCATACCCTTCCAGAAGCCAGAGTATCGGTCTTAATCAGGATTGTCAAAAGACTATATAGGGACTCTGTTGGGCAGGCTGGCAGATAAGTGCCATATAGTGACATACTTATTTAATACTCAAGTGATCATTTTGAACCAATGTTGAGGTTGCCTTATTAGTTCCTCCCTCAATCTGGAGGTTACAAAGTTAGTCTTGAAGGAACTGAAAGAATGGGCTGGAGCCCTTCTAATATACTGGTGCCAAGGGAGGGAGACCGAGGGAGACCAAAATCCAATCAGCTACAGAAACTTCCCAAACACAGGGTCAACACGGGGCAGGACCCCTAAATGTGAATAATAATTGTGTCATTTCCTCACTGCTCTCCTCTTGTTTTAGACTGTCATCATCATCTTCGGATTATAGCCTAACAATGACAGACTATCATGTTTTTTTTAAAAAAAATTAAATATCTTTAATTCAATTGATTAAAGATATTTAACCAGACATTTGACATTCATAAAGAATTTTTTTTTCTCAAATATTTGTGTTGGTTCATGTGAGTATTTAGTAATAATAAAAATTACAGAGGATGACAATTCAGTTGATTAATCTTAAACATTTTGATTTCAGCTAGTTCGATTGGACAACTTTTTTGCATACTGGAATGTGAATTCTGAAATGTTTTATCACAGTGGTTTTAAAGAGGCTTTGGTAAGTGAAATATGTAGTACCTCAATCCTGGATGACATATCTAATATTCTAAACAAAAACCGGGAAGCAGCAGTATAAAATGAACTAAGACATGTGATACTTTATGTGTGTAGACCTTAATGAAACATTATTTTCATGTATAGATGGAAGTACCTAGGTCCCAGAGATCAGATAAATATGCTGGTTTGGTGGGGATAGAACATGTCATTTTGATACAACATGCTTGAAGAAAAGCTGTTCTTGAACAAGGTCATTAAGTGTTCATGCCAGAATTTAGCCCAGCCTAACTTTTCCCAAAAATAGGGAAATTATTTTTTCATATGGCCATAGTATTTACATATCTATATGTAGTATACAGCATGACACTTTTGCAGCATAGATATGTATTTAAACTTTTTATATATTGTTTCACATGATCCTATAGACTTTCCTTAGAATTACTCACTCTTGACAATACAAATACATCACTATATATTGTAATTTTTCTTGCAGTTAAATACACGGTTTTGAAACATTATTTTTATCCCCCTCCCCCCCCCTCCCAGAATAACTTAAAACATGGAGTTGCAAGTGCTAACTTGATTCCTGAAGGCTACAGTTTTGGTAAGTTCATGATCTCTGCAGTCCTTTTCACTGATTCTGTAGATCCAGTGAAACTTTAGGGCTGTAGCTAGGAGCTTGTTCTTATACCTCCTTTTTTAAAGGTGAAATGCTTGCTGTATGCATGTGCCTTAAAGAGCTGGGAGAGCCCCTTCCTTCTTCACAATGACTTCCTGTGGCTGGCTGGCTGGCTGGCTGGCTGGCTGGCTGGCTGGCTGGCTGGCTGTCTTTCTTTCTTTCTTTCTTTCTTTCTTTCTTTCTTTCTTTCTTTCTTTCTTATATTGATTCACTGGAAATGAGATATAGTCTACAACTCATCTGCAAAGCCTTTTTCTTCTCTTTCTGCCTTGTGTGCCTATGGTGTAGCAGGAGTTACTTTAAAAATACAGATGTTGCAGTGGCAAATTGCTAGTATCTAAAAGGACAGTTGTTTCATATTTCATTCCTGATTTAACTCGTAGTTTTAAAAAAGATAAGTATATCAGCAATATGTACCTAGTAGCTAAGACAAACAGGTACCAGCCCATGTTAGGATTTTTTTTAAATTGGGATTCTTAATTCTGTTAAATCACAGTGAAATATATTCAGTATAAAATGAACAGGCCAGTTGCATTGTGTTAAAATATCGAAACAACTTTTTGAAAAGAGGCCTGTTCTGATTTCTAGTGGTATTTTATCCTCAGTAGGAAAATAAGGTTCTTTTTCTGTGTGAAAGGATCTCCAGAACTGCTGTACTTCTATTTCAAGAAGCATGGATCATGTTATCTCCCCCCACCCCCTCACCTTGAGTTCTTCCCAGTTTCTTTCCTGCCTGGATCAGGAGACAGGCAGAGATTTTTTTCCTTCACAGATTTCACAGTAAACAGGACTGATTTTTGGTATAACAACAGGACTAATAACAGGATTACTCTGTTTTCTTATTTCTTGCCCTTACCATTGTGTCCTTCAGCAATTACCTAGGGAGGCTGTGGGCTCTCCCTTTCTAGAGGTATTCGAGTGTCAGCTGAACAGCCATCTGAGAAGGATGACTTAACTTGGAGTCCTGCATTGAGCAGGAAGTTGGACCTGATGGCCTTCTTGGTCCCTTCCAACTCTACTATTCTATGATTTTATGATCTCATCTCTGAGCTTCTTAGCTACAAACAACAACAACCCTCTCTGCATTCTGCTTTCATTTTCTCTTGTCCATCCAGATATTTGGGTCCATTGAAACCATAATTTCATAAGTTTAAAGGCTGGGTAAAAATTAAATGGACTGCAGGTGGCGCAGTGGTTTAAACTGCTGTGCTGCTGGGCTGGTTGATCAAAAGGTCGCCGGTTCAAATCTGCACAACGGGATGAGTTCCCGTTGCTCCATCCCAGCTCCTTCCAATCTTGCAGTTCAAAAGCATGCAAATGCAAGTAGATAAAAAGGTACCACTTCGGTGGGCAGGTAACAGCGTTCTGTGCACTTTGGTGTTTAGTCGTGCCGGCCACATGACCACGGAGACTGTCCGCGGACAAACACTGGCTCCTTCGGCTAGGAAACGGAGATGAGCACCGCCCCCTAGAGTCAGACATGACTGGACTTAACGTCCAGGGGAAACTTTTACCTTTTTAAAAATTAAATAATAAACACCTTGAGTTGAAATTTGCAAACAAAGGAGAAAATCATGTAAGAGGCTTTTACCCAAGGAGATAATTGTCACTTCTATACCAAACTAGAAAATGGACTTTGGGAATGGACCTCAACTATACAGAAAAAGGCAGCATGCTTTCCTGGCTCAGTGGTTGATCTCATCCTTTAGAAGTAGCGCCTGATGGAACAGTTTCTTTTATCTTCCATCCAGAGGATGGGGTGATCGCATGACTATGTTCAGGAATGCCCAGCTTTTAACTCTGACATGTAACAAAATGTCATGCAGAACAAATGCATTAGTAGAGCAGAAGTTTGCAAAGATTATAAAGGCAACATAGAATATTATGGAAGCAGAAACTGTTCTTTCTGATAACAGTTCATCAGCTTTCCAGCTGAAGAGTTTTTTCTTCTCCTGAACTAAGATCGGCATCAAAGACTTTTCCAGAACAATGCCATTCTTGACCTCTCTGCAACAAAACTAGATGTCCAGGTCATTCAAAAAGTCAATATTATGCTAACAACTTCCTTCCTAGTGAGGATAATGAAGATCCAGGGTGATCTTCATGAATACTGAGCTGAAAGCAACAGAATGAGATTTCTTAAGGGCAAGTGCCAAGTCCTCCATCTAGGAAAAAGAAACCAAGTGCTTGATAAAACATGGAGAATACATGACTCAACAAAACTGAAAAAGAAAAAGCTTGGAGTAATTGTGGACAACAGGCTAAATATGAGCCAACAATGCCATACACCTGCCAAAATGTCAAATGCTCTTTTGGGATACATTAACAGAAGTATTACTTCCAAATCACAAGAAGTAGTAGTTCCCCCTATACTCCTCACTAGTCAGACCCCATCTAAAATACTGTGTCCAGTTCTGGGCATCAAGATTTAAGAAAGATGCAGAAAAATTAGAAAGGGTCCAGAGGAGGGCAACAAAAATGATCCAGGTTTTGGAAACACTGCCCTATGAGGAGAGACTGAGAGATCTAGGCATGTTCAGCTTTGAGAAGAGATGACAGAGGAGAGACATGATATCCCTCTATAAGTATCTCAAAGGCTGTCACAAAAAGGAAGGTCAAGATTTTTTTCTCACCGATACCAGAGTGTAGGATCTAGAATAATCAAGTCAAGATGTGACAACCCAAGTTCAGTCTGAATATCAGGAAAAGTTTCCTCACTGTCAGAGCAATACGACTGTAGAAACAGTTGCTAGAGAGGTTGTGGGCTCTCCTACACTAGAGACAATGAAAAAGAAACTGGACAGCCATCCGAGTGGAATAATATAAATTGGTGTCCTGGAACAGCAGGGTGTTGGACCAAATGGCCTTCACGGTCCCTTCCAACTCTACTATCATTCTATGATTTAATATTAGTATTTCTTGTTGCTGTGCACAGGGTTTCTAGACCCTTCCCTTGCTTATATTTAGTGGCTGTTCTTCTCTCTTTATTTCACTCTATTTCATACAAACTTGCTGCATAAAGTATACAGACACCAAATAATGTCTCAACAGGGTATCCCATTTCATTTCAAATCTGTTGTTTATCCTTGATTCATCCTGTCTATTACCATAAGCTTGGTCATAATTCAGAACTGAAAGGAACTCCTACTAGGGAGGAAAAAGTATAAAACTTTAGGTAAAACAATCCTTGTTCCTGAGGAAATTGAGGTGCTTTAGGACAGAATGCCCCAGCACTACCAGTTAGAAGACATTGTGCAACAGTAGCATCCCCCCCCCCTTAATGATTTTTTTCCTGCATTAAGAAAAAAAAGGAAGCAGTGGGGGGCGGAGGGAATGGAAGGGTTATAAGCTGAAGACATCATCATCTGCTCCCCTCTGCCCAGTAAAATTCTGTGAATGAGGTAGTGTGATGGTACTGTTAAAACCTTATCTGGAAGCAATCTGCAGATCCTTTGTACAACAAGAAGAAACCTTCACAGTGAGTGCCTTTCACCTATAATTTCTTGTAGGAGAAACAGCAGGGCTAGAGAGTTATCCTGCATGTTTCACCTGAGTCAGCTCACCTGATTTTTATATTGTGTTGTTCTTCTGTGTCTCCTGTGCAAGGCTGTTTCATTTTATTCTCAGACTAGTTCTGTAAGACAGTAGGTTTGCCAGGTTGCAACTTGCCCAAGGTCACATAGTGGTATTGAACCACACCCTCCCAACACTATCTACCATATCAGACTTGTGCTCTCATAAAAGCTGAGGAGGCTGCAACAATATTCTGGTTCAGTGCTGGGGGAGACATGGCAGGGCTCTTTTACCCCAGAGTGCTACTCATGCAGGCTGCATTGGAAGGCACAGTGTAAGTACTCCTGTGATTAGGCAGCTGTGTGGCAGGAAACCCTGCTTTCTTCTCCCACAATAGTTGAGAGAAAGAAGATTCAGGAACTAAGTAATGACTTTGAAACATGATCTATTTGTTCCTCCCCTAACTTATTCTTAATTGCTATTTTTTTTTAGTATTCCGTCCAATTTCAGCTAAAGCCAAGCTTCGTATGAATCCACGTTCTGATGTTGACTTTTCTGCACCAAAGATAGATCTAAATGTAAATCTTCAAGATATAACCATAGAACTAAATAAACCACAGGTAACTTTCCATAAAAGATTTTTAGACTTACAGAAAACTTGTTTATATTTGGAAACAAGTTCAACAACATATATATATATAATGGACTAGGAAATTCCATTACTGCACACTGGATAACATATTGGAGTATTTTCCAAGCATTCTACAATGCTACAATTCAAAGAGAAAGAGAAAACTAGTTTGCACAGAACAACAGCCCATGGATATTGAGTAAAAGAATGTGGGTGCTTGCCATTTGCAAACAATAACTTACAGTTGACCCATTTGCAGGTTGCTGAGCATGATATGGGCACTTGGAGGGTTTGATTGCTTACAGGCTACATAACTCATCAGTTGTTTAGCTCCTAAACAGCCCAGTTCATTGGTTTTCAATGTGACACTCAACAACCTGTGAAAGCATGACTAGTAGCTTGCAAAAGTGTCAGGAGTGTGTCTCTCCAGCTTATTCCTGATGGTACATGGATTGTTTAACCTGTGGATCATTGTTATATGTGAACCAGGTCATGATGTAAGTAGAAGACTATTGTGGATTCTGTTTGTGGCCACTCAACAGACATCATCTTTAAAAACTGAAATTATATTTATGGTAAATACCCATCTAATAGTGCTTGCCATAGGATGCTGTGGACAACAGTGAAGGGATCTGTGACTTTAACAAACTAGCAGGGAAGTAAGTTCTTACAGGGCCTGAACAAACCGGCCAGGGTGACTGTTGTGATGGGAGATGCCTTATGCAGGTCTCGTCATTGTTCTGCCTAAAGCATTGCTTTCAGGCAACAAACTAGTACTTCACAAGTTTTTGATTACTGAACTGGGCATCTCTTCATAAATTAAAATTGGATACACACTTCACTTTTGAACGCAAAAAGGTTTACTTTCTTCAGAACAGTTTACTTTCTGTAGAAAGTATGATTTCTACTCAGAGGAACTAGTGATGCAAGATGCAGTGGCAACTTTCTTTATTCATATGTTCTTTATTCTCATAGGAGCCTTTAATTATTTAACCTTTCTCTGGGTCAAACTAGATGTAACATTTGTGTAGCTAATTTTAAAGTTAATTTAAAATAGACCTTGTGTAGCTAATTTAAAACAAAAATATTTGACTTAGGGGAGGGGAATTGAGCCAGGTCAGGACCAAAGAATGAGAAAGGAGTTTTGTCATTACTTTGGCCCTTTGCTGAATCAGGGTCTCTGCTTTTGGGAGTTACTCCCTATTGCAAACAGCTTGTACAGCTCCATCATTCGAACTGAGACTACAGTGCAGGAAAATGATTTCCTTCCATAAGGTTTTTATGTGGTGTCTGTCCCTCCACAAATTGGGCCTTAGGCCCCTACACTATAGGCACAAGTACAGTGAGCATGGTGTGGTGTTTAAGAATGCTGTACTGCAACTTAGGTAATCTGAGTCCCCTCTTAGACAATGGAGGAAGAAGGAGGGAATATTTTTTTCACACAGCAAAGAAAAAAAGAGAGGAAGAGCTCCCATTAAGTTAGAAAAATGGGAATGTCTCCAAATTTATATGTACTCACTGAACATAAGTCTTTCTGTCTTGTGGTTACTTACTTAAGATCTGTGGAAGCTAGTTAACCTGGGTCTCTAGTTGGATAGCCTCTTCTCTACTGAAAATGTTTTTATGCAGTACTATTAATACTTAGTGTGTTCTTTCCTTTTTCATTAAGATGAAATAGTTAACAGTTAACATTCCAAAAACCTTTTGACAGATTTGTACTTTCCCAGCAGGAAATATAGACCAGCTTGTAGTTAATGCTAGTTTGTGGGTTAAATACTTCAACAAATTATAGGCTAATTATAGGCTAAACAACCCAGAGTTGAGTCATCATGCTAAGAGCATGAACAGGAATATAGGTTGTTAACTGAAAGCAGAAGTGAAGAACTTGTCCAAATTAGTGTGCTTCCTCCTACTGGATGATGCCCAGTAACCCATGGTTTAAACAGTGCATGAGTAGTTGTTACATGCAGACTAACTTATAGTTAGCTGGGGAAGATTGAAAGTGCTACTTCTTCCTATTTACTCAGGAACGTATATTCTGAATCAGAATATTAGTCAAATACATTGCAGGCAGTATAAAATGAAACTTCTGTGGCTTTCAGTCCTTGAAGCTACAGATAGCATGATATTGAAATATGTAATTTGCTTTCTGTTGTAATGATTCTTTGTACAAATGGTAAGCATTCTTTTGCATTTTATTGCAGTATTTCAGTATTATGGAACTTCTTGAATCAATAGATATGATGACCCGAAATTTGCCATATAGGAAATATAGACCAGATGTTCCTGTTCACAACAATGCCAAGAGATGGTAATATATATATATTTTAAACTCACATCTGTAAGAATATTGTATATAAACAGCACTTACTATTTTGAAAAAATACTTAGTCATGAATTTCCATTCAGTATCTTTTCTAACATACTTCTAGTTCATCTTTTGCTTATTCATGTACCTTAAACCTTTGATCAGTGTATGGCACAAAACTGGCACACTAGATGTATTTTTTTCTTATAGGATTTACACATAAATAGACCTGCAACATTAGCTTTCTAGAACATTGTCCTTTGTTCAGTAGTGAACAGTATTCCCACATTTCATCCAGTTACTGTGAGCAGTTTTATTTCTGCAAATTGAAAAAAACAAACAAAGGGTATATAACGTCTGAAGAAATCTATTTAGTTTTAACACTGGACTGCTTTTCAGGCAACCTAAAGTTTTAAGCCTATAGTGATGGTTATGTCTTTTCTGGGAAAAAATGCTTCAGAGAAGCAGACTTGTAGCCTTTTTTGGCTTAACATATTTTTGCTCTGGGATGCTTTACTATTCTGAGATACAATGAAATTTATCTTGGAGTATTAAAACATCTGAAAAAAGTTTTAGTATGTAAGATCAATTAGACCAGGGGTCTCAAACTCAACTTACCTGGGGGCCGCTGGAAGTAGAGTCTGGGTGAGGCTGGGCTGCATCAAGTATTCCACCACCGCGGTGGTGGTGGGCCGCTCATCCCACGGCTGGCCTGGGCGCTGCCGGCGCTTTGAAGGCCGCAGGCCCCCTCCCCTGTGCCCCGCCCGTCCCGGCAATTGGCCCGCGGGCCACGAGTTTGAGACCCCTGAATTAGACCCATATTGTACACGACACAGTTCTAGCTTCAGTGTTAGTCGGTTTGGAGCTGAGAAGATTTCTCTCATTTCTGCTTATTTTTAAGTCTAGTTTCCTGAAGGAAGACGGAATGTATTCCTTTAATTTTGTTTAATGTGACCTTTTTGAAATGGAACAGTTATGAAAATATAAAGCTGAGGAACCATGTATTCTAAATCAATGGTTTTCAACTGCCAGTCTGCGATTTCCTGCTAGTCCATGGGTGCGGGGGGAGTGCATCCCGCTTGTTCCGGACTGGCACGGGGGGCTAACTGTGCTCCAACATCTCTTCCTCAGTTGGCATCATGTTCATGAGGGGTGTGCCAGTGCCACTGGCTGCGGGCGGGGGGAGGGGAGAGATGGCATGGTGGGAGCTGGCTGGGAGCTATGCCGCATCAATTTCATTCTTTTGTTAGCATTTTTTGTTGCTCGGTTTCTGGTTGTTCTGAAGAATTTTCATCTTTTTTGGTATTGTGTTTGGAAACTAATACATAGAATATTACATTATGTGTATGGTGCCTTTTGTTTCTGCCTCAGCGGTCCCTGAGGTGGCTTTCCTGTTTTTTTGCCAGTCCCCAGCTCTGGAAAGGTTGAAAAACATTGTTCTAAATAAACAGAGTTGCTCTATCTAAAAAGTTATTTTTGTAAAAGGAAAACAAATCTGAGAATTTGGAACTGCATAAGTCTTGAGAAATTTGATTGGGGAAAGTTCTCTAACTGTTCCTAGTAACAATAGTCCTTAACTTAAACTATTAGCACACTCACTTAATTTTGCTGTATTAGTTTTCTTGGGCCTTTTGGCAGCTTTCAGCTTTTTTTAAATTCTGGTCTTTCTAGCTGGGTTAAGTCTTGGGGGGTCTCTTTATTGTAGTACTCCTATTCCTTTGATAGGAAAAGTCTGGAAAGCAGTGCTGAGGCTAAGGATGTAGAGATGTTAAGTCCATTCTGTCTACATTTTGCAATTTCTTGCCTTTCTTTGTGTCATCCACTCATTTATGGACTTGGATTTCATGTTGGACACATGGATACAGGCATGCAGTTCACACTTCTGAAAATGAATGTATCCCCTCAAAATATGTATATACCTGCAAAATGTGTATTTTCCTGCTTTAGCCAGGAGATATGTATTGTACTGGTATTTTTAGTCTATCAACATTTTTGTGGAAAAGTACAGAAAATAAAAAATAGTCTACAAGTCCATGAAATGAGCATGAATCAGGAAATGTTGATCTGCTCTGGAATCCCTGGGTGGGATTGTTAGAAATTTGAACTCATTTGAGTCTGTGGATGATTTTGACAACCCCCCCTAACTCTGTGGCTACAGCTTGATACCACAGCCTTTGGTTTATGGCATCCCACATTTTAATTTGTTCTCTGTTTTGCTTAGTATTTACATTAAGACATGGAAAGAAGTCATTTAATGTTTTGGAGTAAGGCTTGCTCAACATGCTGATGACCGGCTCTGTGTCATCTAAGATCAAGGAAGCAGTCAGTAAGCTTTGAAGTTACCTGGATAAGGTTGAATAAAATGAGATTAAATCCATGCAAGATCAAGGTGCTGTTGGCTATTAAAAATTAAGCCTCAGTCCTTGAAAGTATTACACTCCTGGAAAATCAGATTAAAAACTCAGGACTGCTCCTGCATCTTGTGCTTTTTTGGATTCTCCAATGGTTGTGGTGGAATGAAGTTCATTTGCACCAGCTGCATTCTATCCTGAGTTAGTTGGATTAGTCACATTAGTGAGTATATTGGTGACCAGTTTAGAAGATCTTTAAATATTTTGAAAGGAAGCAATACTTTTGTGTACAGTACTTGTTATGAACTTTAATTTTATTTTTATTAGGTGGAAATATGTTATATATGGCATTCTTGAAGTAAATGTTCAACCAAAACTTCAGATGTGGTCTTGGGAGCATATCCATTATCATAGGAATCAAATAAAGAACTATAAAGATCTATATAAAAAAAAGATAACAACAAAGAAGCCAGCAGACGAATGTTTGAATAAGTTGGAGGTTAGTGACTGTAGAATACTATTAATTTACATTTGAATATTTATCATGTGCACTAAAAATAACAACTGTTTCTTAGGTAATTTTCTAAGTATCTGTTGCATTATTATATTTGTATATTATTTTCACATTTTAAATTTCATATTAGACACAAAGTTGGAGTATACAGTAACTGAAACCTAAAAATCAGTGGCCTAGATAGAAACAAAATCTCTTTCAAAGGTATGTTGTTAATTTCCCCACCCACCTGTAGACCAGTGAAAACTGGTTCCAGATGGGGATAGAGATTTGATGAGGCAGGAAAGAGAATTGATAACCCCTGCAACATGTGCAGAAATGTAATTCAATCAAAGCCAATATTTTTAAGCTATTCCCTGTTGACTAAAGACCATACCTTACTGCAACTGTTCTTTTAAATCATTGTTTAAATCTAGCAGTGAGAAAAGGCAGATATGATGCTCTGTAGAGAAAGAATGATTAGGGTACACCACTATAGATAAGCTTTTTCACCTCTCTTGAAGCTCTTGTTGGAGAAAACAAGGCACTCCCAATTAAAAATCTGGTAATAGTCCTATTTGAGGACTATTGTGTGTTATTTCCATATTAAAACAATTGTGTTGTATAGAGAGGCTAGTTTCCATGTGTTGTGTCCTCATTGCCCAATCTGTATAGCTCATGTATTCTGCAGCAGAGAGCCTATTGTTAGTATGTATTTGTGTTGGCAGCCTGTCCACTTGAAAGCAGTCTCTCTTTCAGATAATACCTTTATAACAGTGGTTCCCAACCTTTTCTATGCCAACACTCTAGAAAATGTTTGATTTTATTTGCACCCCCTAAAAAAGTAAGATCACATTTGAAGTCAAATTTCTATTTTTGAACCACAAATTGAACTTTAAAAAGCTTTAAACTCAATGCATAAAATTCAAATATAAATTGAACAATTAGGGGGGAAAATGTAAACAGTAAAATCAGTCCCAATTGTGAACATAAAATTCTCATTCATGATTTTGTCAAAGAGTGAACTTTCATGCTGATTGTAATCTGCAAGCATGCCTGTAGATTCCGGTGATTCCTGGATATTGTCTTGATTGACAAAAGAAAACTGAATCCAAAAGCAAACAAAATAATAAAAACTAATTTTATTATTGGGATAATTTTTGGCATAAAACGTAGCAATTTATTAATTTTGAGGAGTCACAACACAGCCTTCCTCTTTGTTGCACCCACTGAAATTGCCATTTCACACCTTCTGGAGGTATAGGCACCCCAGGTTGGGGAGCCTGCTTTACAACATGTGTCTGGCATATAGATTACACAGTGAGGTTTGGATGTACCAATGGGAATAGGGGCACAAAGCACAGAACTTCTCTTTCCCTCAGCTAAATGTTATTGCATGATGTGGAAGAGAACTTTTGTGTAGAGGAGAAATGATTGACTTTGGGAGTGATTATGTCTGAAGGAAAGACTTTCGACTAATGTAGTGAGGAAAAAAAAAGCTAAATCCAACTTGTTCATGCTGTTTAAAGAAGGAATTCTGTCTTGCACCATTTCTAGTCTGTATCTACATATTTATCTCTCTATACCTCAATTAATTCATGTTTATTTATGATATACTAATATTCTATAATCTCAGTCATTATTATTTAAACTTCTATTTTCTACTCTTCTCATTTTCCATGTTATCCTTATTCTTAATATATCTGTCTATTAATAGTCAGTTATGCAGTCTGGCCTAAACTAGCATAGAAATGGAAAGGAATGAATCTGTAAACAGCAACCCACCATTTCACTAATTTAATGGGTGAGTACTAAAACAGGAATAGTCACACATAAGGCCGAACTTGTGTAGGAAAATAGTTTGCAAATGAACAGAAAAGGAAAACAAGCGGTCCAACAAGGACTGAGCCAGCCTAGTAAGATCCAGGAGCCTCATTGTGTTGTTCAGTATTGTTAGGATAGGTGTAGGGGAAATTAAATTCATAGTGGTGAGCACAAGGGACAAGTCTCTAACAGCATGGGGTATCAAGAGAAGAACAAAAATTAAATATCGCACTCTATATGGAGAAACTTCAATAAGGGAAAGGGTGGAAGGAGAGGGTCCTCCCACAATAGAGAAATAAAATGTTCAGGTTTGAGTCCTGCAGTGAGTCCTAAATTTTAATTATTTAGTGGTATATAGTATGATCTCCCAAGTTCCAGACAAACCTCCTGTTTCAGATTGCTTAATACCTTGAACAGCAGTATTTCTGTTAGACGCAAGATACATACCAGAACATTTTATTCTGGGCCCCTTCTTGTCAATTCACAGTGTGGAAATTTGTTGCTTTAACTGTTTCTGTATTGTTTTCTCTTTCTTTTACAGGAACTAGAAAAGACCCTGGATATTTTCAGCATCACTCTGGCAAGACAACAGGCAGAATTTGAGGTAAATGCTTTATAATAGGAAGTTGCAGGCAGTTCATGAATTACGGACATCCAAATTACAAACAACTTGTTCTTATGAACTGCCATAAAGCCTATTAATTTTTTAAAAATACTGCAGAAAATCTCATTACCATAGAGAGAGAGAGGAAGTGAAAGGGGAGAGAGGCCTCCAAACTATGCCTTCTTGCCCTGTCCATCCAGAGATGGAAGTCTTTCCAGCATTTCCTTACTGCAAGGATGAGACACTGCTGATTTGGGGTGTGGGGTGGTTAGAGATATTCACAGTTTTTCTGCTTTAATGAGAATCCTGTACCTCTAACCCCCACAGATGTTGAGGGCCTGCTAAGTGTGATCTGATGTACATCCAAATCCAACTTAAAGATTTCCGTTTTTTCAGAAACAGAACTCATTCGTAACCTGGGGACTACCTGTATACTGTAATAGATTTCATTTTATGGAAACCATTAATAGCCTTATATCCTTGAAATTTAAATATCTTCTGTCCTAACCTAGCTGGTAAAGAAATACTGAAAACTGAACAAAACAAGCTCAGATGCAAGCTTCCATGCGGTAGTTTTCTATATATAACATTTCGGATTTTAAGTCCACTACACACAGTTCCTCAATCCAGACTTGTAGTTTCTCATTCATCAGTTAAAATGGTAAAGTTCTAGTTCCTCATGATCTCTATGCATCACACATATGTTCCCTGTACTTGTAGGAAGAATCAGTAGCTAAGAGTGTTTTGGCAGGAACC